TTAAAAAAAAAAAAAAAAAAAAAAAAAAAAAAGACATTCACTGTTCACAAGTCCAGTTGAACTAACCTTCTGGTCATTAAAAGATGCCATCTCCGACTGCAACCGCTGCTCCCACTGCTTCAAAAAATTTTCCCTTTCCTCCAGATGCTGAGAGGCCTCCATCCGTACTTCTCTACAACCCCAACCAGAATGCAAGAAAGTCAAAGGCGCACCCCCTCCGACACTCCACCTCACCTTTACTATTTGAGGGAGCCACAGGGCTGACCCAACTTTTACTACTATGATGTGCATACCTATGGGAAGATACGCTTGAGTATGCCTCTCTCTCTCTCTCTCTCTCTCTCTCTCTCTCTCTCTATGTGTGTGTGTGTGTGTGTGTGTCTGTGGGGTACAGCTCGCTGAATTGCACACATGTACACCTGCTGATAAACAGATCATCAGTTGAGATCCCAATACACTCAACGACGTCAATGGCTACTGCCTTCAAATGAAAGAAAAGGAAAGCAACATAAAGAAATCGCACAGAATGCATGTGAAATTGTTTTTCTTTTCTCTCTGTTTTCACGCAGACCAAAGGTTCGGAGTTCGAACTCCACATCATTCACTACGCAGATAGACTACCAGTAGTCAAGGCTATGCTCTGCAGATAGTTACAGGTGTGTGGAGCATGACAGTCATAAGGCTCCTTCAAAGAGTTTGATGGGAAACCTCGAGGGCGGGGGCACGAAGAGAAAAGACAAACAAGGAGACAAACAAATAGAGGACAGAAGGGAGCTAATACCCAAGGCATGAAAGATGCACTTTCTACGGGATCCCAAAACTACCAACCGCCCCAACCTGGTAGAATCTTAATATGTCAGCATGATCCATGGGGACTACTCCACGTTTTGCCGCGGGTATAAAGTCTCCTTTCAAAAATCCCTGTTCTCGCAGTATACTTAACAGTTTCCTGATGGGTGCATGCAACACCAATCTTTTCCTTTTTTCATACCTTCTGGTTTTACCACGCGATATTTGGGTACCTAGGAACTTATTCTGACTTTTTATCACTTTTAGGTGCTATGTTTGGCACAAGCCTGACCAGGTTTACAACCAGGTCCATGCCTTGTAACCACAAAAATGGCAACAGAGCAGCCTGGCCCTGAGAGCCATGGATTAGAGGGCATGGAGAGCAAACTGTGAAAAAGGGGTTACCGTTTCCATGCAGAAAGATTTTCTTGTTGTTGCATCAGCTCTACAGCCTTTGCTCGTAGATCATGTTTCTCGGCAGTTATTTGTGCTGCTTCATCCTTTGCCCTCTCCGCCTCTGCAACTGCCAGAGCAGCTCGTTCTTCAGCCAGTCTAAGCTATTGGAAAAGAAGAGAAAAAAGAGGGGAAGACATATCAACCAACAGACACCCGGAGGGCAGAGAAGTTGAGCCGAATGTTAATTGCAATTGCAATTCTTGCATCCACTTGTCAGCACATAGATTCATTTCCATTCACTCCAACATTCAGAAGCACATGCAAGTAATGTCAAATAAATATAGGCTACCAGAGTGGCCCGGGACCACGTGTCCCGCCTGGCCAAAAAAGAGAACAAAAGAAAAAAAAAAAGAAGTCATTTTTAAATTTTATCATGGCTACGATCCGGATGTCCGGACCGCCGTCCAGACGGTCTGGATTCAGTCCGGACCTTCCAGACCGGACGTGTGAAGGTCCGGATCTGCCAAAATTCGAGAAAAAAAAAAAAAAAAAAACGGTCCAGGACCCTTCCCGATTGAGGAGCCAAGACCCCAAAATTGTTTTGGGGGTTTTTCAGGCCTGTTTATGCTTTTTTGGGGGGTCCGGACATGCTCTCTCTCTATAATAATTTATTAGACAACCCCATTTTTTAATTATTAATAATTCATTACATTTTATAATTTTTATTAGTTTTTAAAGTCTTTTTTAAAGCTTTTTTATAGTTTTTGACTTGTAACTCAAGTTTGGTTCGGAATTCTGACATGACTCTGAGGCAAAAGTGGTTTGCATTGTTCTTCTGCATAGCATACTTTTTTTTCAGATTTTTTTATTTTTATTTTTTTAATGGTCCGGACATTTCCGGACCTGCCCAGACATCCGGACCGTCTGGACCCCCCATGTCGGGAGGTCGGGAAATGTCCGGACGTCCGGACGTCCGGAAACTACCGGACACGGGTCCGGTTCCATGTCCGGAAATGTCCGGGTCATGAATTTTATTTTTTATTTTAATTTGGTAAAGAATTTCGATGTGGCCCTGAGGCAAAAGTTGTTCAGTTTGTTTTTCTGCATACCATAGTTTGTTTTCGGATTTTTTTTTATTTTTTATTTTTTGGTGGGACCTTCCCTGGTCCTTTCACGGCCGGGCTGCCCGGGAAAACAGGGTGATCCGGGGGGGCCCACTGGTAGCCTGGAAATAAATAAAATTAAAATAAAGCACTTGCAAGATGGCTAACCAAGCAACTTTTAGGGGGCTCGATGGTGGAGATACTCAAGGTCGGACATTTCTGTGCCAGCTGTGTTTTTTCCGAAGGTAAGGGCAGATCAGGCTGATGCTGGAGATACTGAACCTGTGGGTTGCATGAGAAGGGTGAGAGGAGGCAGTCACCAAATTCCATAGCGGAGTTTCATTACCAGACATACGGTGCATCTGTCAAGCATCTGCAGAGAGGGTTCTTGGTATTGTCAGGGGGGGGAAATCCATGCTAAGGTGGCACATTGGGGCAGAAGATCGGGGGAATTGGAGAGCCATTCCAGTTGTATTCATTGGTTATCAAGGAAACTATCCACCTCTCTACTGCTTTTACACCTTTTCCTCACTTATGGTTACTCGCTGCTGAGTTTGAGACCTAGCAGACCCAGGATAGGGAGCCAACAACTTCGCCTGGCTCAAGAGGTCCTTAAAGCAGTACCCACAGGCCGAAGAAGGGCCGAACCACTGCATATAATTCAAGGCTAGGTCAGATAGAGCATCACTCAGTCACAGGTGGACGCCAGGCTCCAGCAGCACAGAGTCAACGTGCAATTTAGGGATGGGACTGTACAGCAGTGCTGTCGCCAATGCCTTGGCAGTAGGCATTGAGAAGAAGGTAGAGGCCATAGCTCCTGGGCACCTCGTGCAGTACAGGGGCAACTAGGGTAGGGGAGGTCGTTGGGAGGTTCAGGAAGGCTGCAGGGAAGGTTGTGGATACTTGCTGGTGGTCAGCAGGGAGGAGCTCAAGTGTGACAAACTCTTCAAGTGGTCACCGGCAGAAGTGAGACAGGGCCATGGTGGATGAGTAGTCTAGGCTAGACGAGGTTGTAAGATAGGCAGTCACACCAGCTGGTTACAGACATCAGGGGTGAATCAAGAACTACTACCCTGTGGTTGTATTGATTGGTTGAGAAGAGCTTTCAGAATCAAGAGACTTTGTGCGTTGTGTGTGATCCTGGCCTTATCGATTCTGATTTCGGGCTGGCTTTCTCATTCATGATGATCAGCGAGTTCGTGTTGGTCATGAACTTAGTTCTCACGAGCACGTTCCTTGCATAGTATAGGGAAAACAAAATGCAAGATAAAAGGAAAACAAGAAGTGTAGTTGTACTACCATTGCCAACACAGCTCCTGAAAGTTTTACATTGACCTCATGATTTACCATTCAATTGATAAAAAACGGTTCTGGGAAGCGGTTTCACTAATCAGGGGATATTTACCATTCAGTTGATAGAAAACAGTCCAAGGCCTTACCAGTGCGAACCACTGTGCGAAATATTTTCCAGATAAGGAAAGGCCTTTTAAAAATATTACTTAAACCTGAAAATTTTTTTTAGGGAGAGACCCGTTCTTTTCTAGTATTTCTACTCATACTTTCAGGCCATGTTTTCTTTTTTTTTCCTGGGTTGTGATGCCTTTCCGACTCACCAATGCCCTGGCGAAGTTCCGTGCGGTCATTATGATAGAGTTCCGCACGACATTGGACCGATTTGTTCTCATCTACCTCAACGACATTTTGGTGTACAGCCATACCTTGGATTGGACATCTGCATTGTTTTGGACACACTTCGCTGGGCCACGTACAAAGCCAATTGCGACAAATGCGAGTTCGCATGCCAGGACAGGACCTCCACATCGTTTTAAGTACACTTTGCTAGGCCAAGTACAAAGCCAATTGCGACAAATGCAAGTTCGAATGCCAGGAGCGTGAGTAATTGGGACACTCGGTCACACCGCAAGCCATTCCGTCCGCTTGCGGACAAGATCTAGGCCATCCAGAATTGGCGTGAACCGACAAATGTCATGGAAATTCAATCCATTCTAGGCCTCGCAGGCCATTACCAGCACTTCATGGACAGATACAGGAAGGTCGTAGCACCATTGTCACGCCTTCAGTACCCTGTGGTGCTATTCAAGTCCAACGATCTGGAGCACATTGCTTTTCACACACTCAAGGCAGCAATGCTCGCAACACCTGTGTTGAGTATCTACGACCTCACCTTGCCTACACATATCACCATGGATGTGTTAGGTTATGGCATGAGTGCAGTTTTTGAACAGCATGACGGGAAGGACTCGCACCCGGTCAAGTTTTTCAGTACGAAGGTCCCTCCTGTCCATTCGATCAATGATGCAAGGGAGAAGGAGCCACTTGCCTTTGTCACAATGCTTAAGAGATGGTGGCCCTTCCTGTTCGGGTGCTGGGAAGTGGATTACCAACAACCATGCATTCATCTTCTATAAGGTGCGGGCAACAACACAATCACACGCTAGATGTCCATTGGCTGGTTTGACTTCATCACGGAGCATTTATAGGAGCTTCAAATAGGTTTGTGGGTGCTTTTTCTTAGGGACCCGACCTTTGTGCTGTCACACATGATTCGTTCGCATTGGACGAGAGCCTACAGCAGCACTTCGCCCGAGGATACAAGTCCGACTCCGATTTTGGGCAACGTTACGAAGCACTCTCACCTGCGACTCCTCCGGGCAGGAAAGTACCCTATTATCGGCAGGTTTTTGCTTCTCCACGCATGTGGCAGGGACTTACTCTGTGTTCCTCACAACCGCTGACTAAGGACACAGTTACTTGGTGAGTACCACGATTCGCCTCCTGGTGGCCACCTTGCATTCAACTGCATGGTTGCCCGACTTTGCCGACACTTTTATTGGCCCGGATTGGTGCCTCGTATTACCAAGCACTGCAAGTTATGCGAAGTTTGCATGAGCTGCAAGTCATACAACCATTGCCTCTATGACGAGTTGTGACCGTTATCTATTCCGTAGGACTTCGACCTCTTCTGCCATGGATATCATCGGACCCTTCCCATGCAACAGTTTTGGTCATGACTGCATTCTGACAGTGGTTGACCGCTTGAGCAAATATGCTTGCTTCCTACCATGCAGGTGTTATGCGCCCGATTGAAACGAGATACACCATGCATCCACATGTTCCATACACATGCGCAACGGCAAGAGATCTTGGAGAGAGCAATTCACACCACACGGGATGAGAGAATACACAGTGGAAGCACTTAACCAAATATAGAATTGAAATTACTCAATTCTCATCAATATCCGGCTCCCTCCGGCCAATCAATACACGGTTATTTGAACTTATTTCCAAGAATCCCAACCACATAATTAACATCCACAAACAAACTAAGAAGAGAGTTTCAACATTTAAGGGAGACTTCTTCTTCCTCCCAACCTCAAGCTCACAACTATGGCGCAGGCCTGCGCCCGACCTATCGAGCCCATCAAGCGCCACCAACCCTCCTGAACCCTACACGCCACTCAACAGTCCAAACCCGATGCCCACTGCAAATGAAGTGTCCGCTCAACGGGGCAGGGTAGCTCCCAGGACAAAGAAGAAGAGCACCAGCGCTGGATGAAGAAGGAGATGGCTGCCACTTCGACAAACACTTGCAAGAAGGGTTTCGATGGCAACCCTGCCTATCCCCAACAGCACAGGTAAGGGGAGGTGCATCACAGCGCTCACGGCCTGATGCCCAGCACAGTTACAACATGAGCCAGGAAACCCCAGCTATGGAGGACAGCCCTAGCAGCATGAAGATGATGTCGCAAGTGAAATAACGCAGCACCCAAACAGCGTGCCACCTCCAGCAGCACTCCGTGGAAAAAAATGACGAGACAGAACCCGTTTTTCCTTGCCCTCGAAACTTTTGTAGACTGCTGTTTCCCTGACTCGACAGCCTACAGCTTAGGAACGAGAGCCTATAGCTTAGGAACGACAGCCTACAGCTTAGGAACGAGAGCCTATAGCCTAGGACCGGATCTAGACCTAAAATTGGCAAAAGGGGAGGACAGAAACGGCCTACAACTCAAGGGCAGAAAGGATAAAGTAGAGAGACC